TTCCCCTCCTCTCTTTTCCCCCTCCCCCCCTCCTCCCTTCTCCCCCCTCCCCTCCTCGCTATATCTCCCTAGTTTGCCATCTGCCCTCTGCCCTCCGTGCTGTGCTAGCCAAAGCTGAAATCCAAAGCTGAAATCCGCACCCACAGGGAGCCCACAGGGATCCATGCGTCCCTGATCCGCAGCTGCAGCCCCACCATGCCCTGTGCACACACAGCCACTTGCGTTTCCCAGGACGGCCTGGAAAGCCCTGCAGCAGCTGACCTGAGTGCTGGGCAGGGCAGGCTCAGCTCACTGTGGGGCTGGCAGGGCGGGGGCTCAGCTCACTGCGGGGGACTGGGCAGGGGCTGGGCAGGGCAGGCTCAGCTCACTGCGGGGCTGGCAGCATGGGCACTGGCACCGGCATGAAGTGCCGGCGCTGGCCTCGGGCCCGCCTCACGGGGACAGCACACTGGACTGTCAAGGACACGTGCCCTCGACTCACTGGTTACGGAGTGGTCAGCCCTGGGGCAGTTTGCAGTGATTCCCTTTAAAGTCATTTTTCCGGTCAGATTAGTTAGTACTTAAGACAGTGAAAACAGACGGCCTATAGGGGCTTTAAGGCAGCTGGATCCCACATGGCCAACCGTGTGGTCTGAGTCCCAGATCCATGGCTTTGAAACCACGCCAGGTGTGTGTGCATGCATGCCCAAAATGGAGAAGGGATTTCGGTGTGGCCATCCCAGGGGAGTGCTCTCTCTGTTGAGCACAGGCGCCCTGCAGCAAATGTGCAAAAACAGGTACATGCAGCCTGTCGAACCTGTTCCACCTGGCCCTCAGGACCCAGGCCCCCAGAGCCCCAGCGTCATTCTCAGTCCCCCTCACAGCTCGCCACGAGCCTGCCAAGGTCCCCCCACGGCGCTGCGTGCACGGAAGGCAGACGAGTAGAAAGACAAGCAGGGTGTAGGAGACCCCAACAGCTGCCCTATTGAACATGCCATCTAGAGGTGCCCCCTTGCCCTGGGGGCCGGAACCTCTCCCATGGGAAATGAACATTTCTTCATCTTCGCACACATGCCCATCGCCCTGGCCGCCACGTACACTGGCAAGGGTGGCCTCGTAATGGCAGCCAGCGCTCCACCGACAGGGGGCAGGGGACACTGCTCGTCCGGGCCGTGGAGCTGCTCTGTGACTAGCAGTCGGCCGTCTTCCCGTGGATATTGTTAACTGCTCGTGTAACAGTACGTAGTCGATGAGCAGAATTACCTTCACTGCTGTCACGAGACCCACTCAAATGTCCCACCTCACCAGCGGGTCTACGCGGCTAATGGTTCTTAGTTAAGGTTGAAAATTAGTATTGCAAGTCACGTCACGAACCTGTCCTCCTTGAATTAGACTAACTCATCTCTTTTCCCCCAGTGACGGATAATAGTTACTTAATAAATGGGCTTTGAGCGAAACTGAACACAGCCTCAAACACAGGGTGTGAAATGCCCTTCTGTGTATTTTTTTTAAATTTCAATTTATTTGTTTGCATTCATTCACTGTACATCATTACAGCATAGAAAATGAGATTTTCCATCAGAGTACACTGTATATTGTCCCAATCAAACACATCAACAAACATGTTATTGTCAACAAATGATCTTCCATTTCTTGTTTTCTGTATGTTTTGCTTTTTTCCCCCCATCCTTGATTCCCTATTCTTACCCTCTGCCATCTCCCACTCTCCTCCCACACTGTCTCCGGTATCTATGTTTGCTTTCTATACTGTTTCCCCCCACATTTTTCTGTGTATTTCTTACCCTGTGGGGTTTTTGGTTTTGCCAGAGGGTGTGTGCTCTTAACAGAAAGGGACAGAGAGGGGAAAAAGCACCCCCGTGGGGCATGGTCGCTCAGCAACCCTTCCCACTTCTCCGGCTGTTGGGATGTGGGGCGCACATGCACCGGGAATGGTCCTCAAGACCCCAGGGCCAGGATTCTGACCATGCCGCCGCAGGTAGGGTCTGGCTCCCTTCACTGCCATGGGGCCAGCCCAGGTAAGAGGGCATTTCTCTTCAGAGAGACTTTTGCTATAAGCACGTGTGCTCACTGAAAGACAGACAGACAGAAAGTGAGAAATCACCCCCTGGGGGGATGGCCACCCTACAATCCCTTCCCCTCCACTCTCCTCTTGAAATTCTGGGCCTCCACACACATGTGCCTGGCATGAGTTTCAAGCCACTGGGCCCAGGACTTGAACCTCAGCTGACCACATGGGAGTGCAGCACCGCTACCATGCCACCTCACTGGCTCTGGTAAATAGATTTTTAAAAAATATATAATTATTTATTTAATTTTATTTTTTCATTCATTTATTTTAACTTGACCAGAGAGAGACAGAAAGAAAGAGTGAGAAAGCAAGCTGCCAGGTCCGGGACTCGAACTGTGGTGAGCCATATGGGAGTGTCCAGCACCTTAACCACCACGCCACCTGCTGGTCCCTCTGGTAAATAGACTTTTAAACCCTAAAATTAGGAGACCTGTGAAGTGTTAAATAAAAGTAGTAACATATATGAAGTTTGAGCCTTTCCTGAGAAAATGTAAAACCAGAATTAAAGATTCCTTACCACACTAACTGGCATGTCCGATCTGAAGAGTGCTCTCACACCGGCTGTCTTCGCTCAGCCTGGGCTCTTGTGTGCACGGGTCAGTGCAGGGTTCAAGATCTGATGTAAACAAAGGCCCCCCTGAGGAACAGTGGCCTCAAATCAAACTATCTGGACTTCCCCTTAGGAAACTTAATAATCTTAAAATAGCAGTTACATGGGACCAGCAAGCAGATGGCATAATGGTTACGTTGTTGGACTCCCACGTAGTTGACTATGGTTCAAGTCCCAGACCCGGCAACTTAAACTCACGCTGGGCACATGTGCATGTGTGCTCAGGATCCCAAGAGGATACTGGAAGGGAAGGGATTGCAGCGTGGCCACGTCCCCAGGGGGTGATTTCTCACTGTCGCTGTCTCACTGGTGAGCGCACGCACCCTACAGCAAAAATCTCTCTTAAAAAAAAAAGGCATGTGTGTTTGCGGCCTTGGCACTGGCTGTCCAGAGGCCAGAAGAGGGGCCGACGGCGCTGCGACTTTGCCGTGCTCTCCCCAGCCGCCGTGGAAGACAAGCCCTCCCTAGCCCTTTGCCTCATCAGTAACGATGCCAAACGCGGTCTCAATCATCTTCAAAGGGCAGTTACTTTTCCATTTTAAAATTAAAATGAGCATTTCTTTAAAAATATGGAGGAATAAACGATCAACAATTGTAAGAGTGGTTCTCAAACTGGGGTACACATTGGAATCATGGTGGAACATGTCACAGACCAAGACCACAGGGGGCATAATGGTCAGGTCACTGGACTCCCACGTAGTCAACCACAGTTCGCATCCAGAAAACGGTGGCTTGGGGGGCTGGCAGGTGGCGTGGTCGTTAAGGCACTGGACACTCTCACATGGCTGACCATGGTTCGAGTCTCGGATTTTGTTGTTTGCTTTCTCACTTTGTCTCTTTCTCTGTGACTCTCTCTGGTCAAATTAAAATAAATGAATGAATAAATAAAATTAAAATAATTAAAAAAAAAAAACCTCAAGCCAGGTGCATGTGCGTATGTGCCCAAAATCCAGAGATGAGAGTGGAGGAGAAGGGACTGCGGCGTGGCCATTCCCCCTGGGGGCTGATACCCAGCTTTCTGTCTTAGGCAAGCGCACGTGGTTGAAAGCAAAAATCTCTCAAAACACGAAAGACGCTGCAGCCCGGGTGGGCCTCATTAGTGGCGTTGGCATTCACCTTATTTCACCCGTGCTGTACACACGTACAAGGGACAGGAGGAGAAGTGCCTCTACAGGCCCAGGCACCCGCAGGCCCCTTCTCCACCTCCAGCCGGCCAGGATCCTGAGCGGCTCACTGCCCGGCATGTTTTCAGGCCAAGGGGGCTGGGGACTCGAGCGGTGGTCAGCGCAGGGCTTCCAGCCCTCAGTCTGTACCCTACCAGCTGCACCCCAGATGCTGGGCACTTCTCCATCCTCCTCTCGGGATCTTGGGCACGCACACACGTGCCTGGAGTGAGCCAAAGTCTCCAGGTCCAGGACTCAAACCACAGTTGACTACATGGGAGTCCAGCAACATAGCCATTATGCCATCTGCTGGTTCCCACAAGCGTTATTTTTAAAAAGATCTTGGGGGGGCCAGCAGATGGTATAGTGGTCATGTTGCTGGACTACCACAGGGTCGACCATGGTTCGAGTCAGACGGTGGCTCCAAACTCACGTTGGCGCATGTGTATGCATGCCCAAGGTCCCAGGAGGAGAACGGAGAAGGGACTGCAGCGTGGGCATCCCCCCACCCCAGGGATCATTTCTTGCTTTCTGTCTCTCTCTCTCCCTCTCTGTGTGTGTCTCTGGCAAGCGTGCACACTCTATAGCAAAACTCTCCCAAAAAAATAATAAAAATAAGATCCTGGGACCAAGAGATGATGTAATGGTTCCGTCACTGGACTCCCACATAGTCAACCAGAGTTAGAGCCCCGGCTCCGGCAGCATAAACTCATGCCAGGTGCTGCAGTTCAAGTCTCGGATCCGATAGCTTAAACTCATGCCAGGCGCATATGTGAGCATACCCCAAATGAAGAAACCTGTTAAAACTTCACCATGGAATTGAAATGAGCAAAATCCATACTGGGTAAACATTCTTTCTTTAAAAGAATTACTTTTACTTAACTTTTCTATCTTTTTCTTTTTTCTTCTTCTTTTTTTTTTTTTTTTTTTTTTTCTACAGGGTGGATCCATTTTTTTGGAGAGATTTTTTTTCTATAGGGTGCATGCGCTCTCCAGAGAGACAGAGACAGAAAGCAAGAAGTCACCCCCAGGGGGGATGGCCACACCGTAATCCCTTCTCCTCCATGCTCCTCTTGGGATCTTGGGCATGCACGCGCACACACACACGCCTGGCTTGAGTTTGAGCCACCGGATCCAGGACTCAAACCGCAGTTGACTACATGGGAGTTCAGCAACATAGTCATTATGCTAACTGCTGGTCCCTATCATCGTTATTTTTTTTAATGTGAGAAACAGAGAAAGAGAGAGAGGGAAAGTGAGAAAGCAAGCCACTAGATCTGGGACTTCCTTGAGCCATGGTCAGCCATGTGGGAGTCCAGTGCCCTGAACCACCACGCCACCTGCCATACTGGGAAAAACTCTGTTAAAAAAATAATAATAAATTTTTCAACAAACACAGTGGAAGAAAAGGGGCAGAGATAGTCCAAAAGCAATGGGAGACGTGGCAAACCTACGATGTGCAGATTTTAGTCCAACTGCAATGCAAGCAAACCGCCAAAACGTACATTTGAGACAGCTGGGTATTCGAATGCTACAGATTCTTGATATGAAATAACCGTTCGTTTTTAAGATGCAGTGATAATATTACGGTGGTTTTCTTAAAAGAGTCTTCATATTTTCCAAGTTTATTTCTCAAGGGAGAAAGAGACAGGTCTTGGCCCCCTCCCAGCCAGGATCACGGGGGCCAGGATGTGCCCGGCGTCTCCAGGTCACCTGGGAATCGGAGCCCAGGCCTCCCCTGGGGGTCCACTGGCACGGAAGCTGCTGCACTGCCGTGCTCGGCCTCAATCGTAGTGGCCCTTAGAGAACTACCCTGTGATGCCCGGGACACGCTGCCAGACTGCCCGGGAGGAAGACAGTGGGTGTGGAGGACACAGGGCTGGCCACACGCTGATACCGCCAGGCGGGCGACGGGCGCAGCTCACCGCCGTACACTGCCCACTCCGTCTCACCTGTTCAGAATTACCCCACACTGGGGCCAGCAGATGGCGGAGTGGTTACATTGCTGGACTCCGACATGGTCTACCGTGGTTCGAGTCCCGGATCTTAAGCACACACTGGGCACGTATGCTCGTGCCCAAGATCCCGAGAGGAGCATGGAGGAGAAGGGACTGTGGCGTGGCCATCCCCCCTGGGGGGTGATTTCTTATTTTCTGTCTGTCTCTCTCTGGTGAGTGCATGTACCCTATAGCAAAAACCTCTCTCAAAAAAATCCCACAGTTTACAAAATTTTAAACTAAATGATTTCGTTAAGAGACTATGATAATAACTTTGCCTCTTGTATTACCTGAAATATTGAAATTAGAAAAACATTCAAAATGAGTCCATTTAGGATTCCTAGAGCTTAAAAACACAAATCTAAATACTGCATTTGGAGGGCCCCCAGTGGTGTGGTGGTTAGGCACTGGACTCCCACACGGATGATATTCAAGTCCTGGACCCTGAGACTTGAGGGTCCATGCACAAGTGCGTATGTGCCCACTACCCTACGAGGACTGTGGTGTGGCCATCCCCCCAGTGCTGATTTCTCACTTTTCCTCTCTCTGTGTCTCTCTGTCTCTCTCTGGAGGGCATTCACACCCTATGGCAAAAACCTAAAGATAAATAAATAAAAAAGAAATGCTGGGAACCAGCAGTTAGCGTAATGGCTATGTCGCTGGACTCCCATGTAGTCGACCGCGGTTCGCGTCCCGGACCTGGTGGCTTAAACTCATGCCGGGCACATGTGCGTGCGTGCCCAAGATCCCGAGAGGAGAATGGAGAAGGGATTGCGGCGTGGCCATCCCCCCTGGGGGTGATTTCTCCCTTTCTGTCTCTCTGTCTCTCTCTGTCTGGCGAGCGCACGTGCCTTATAGCGAAAACCTCTCAAAAAAAAAAAAAGAAATGCTGCACTTTGCAATTTAAGGGAAGCGGTGACTAATGTCCACATCTGTGAGCTGCTCGGCCTTCCTGTCCCCAGCAGGAACGAACGCGCGGTTGGCACTCCAGCACGCCAGTGGCCAGGAACTCACAGACCATTGTCCCACTGGCCTCGGCCTCCAGGGAGCCACTCAGCAATCACAGAACACACAGGCGCACTGCCATGGACCGGGCCACCACCTCCTCCCGAACCAGCGCCAGAGGCCACTGCCGGGGCCCTGAATGAACCACTCCCAGAGCTCCCAGGAAAGCCTGGCCAGGGCTCATCTTCCTCTCGGTCGACAGGAGAAATTCACCCACAAGTTACCAAATACGGAGTGGGCGAGGGAAGCCTCCTGAATCTGGCCTTCCAATGGGCAATGTGCACAGCACAGAGCCTGCCCCGCTGTAGACGGAGGTCACGGTAGGCCGCTGAGCACAAGACCACGAGGGTGACAGCGGCCCCAGGGCAGGGTGACGTCCTCTCCCCTGTCCAGACACTCACAGTGTGCCCGAGTCTCCTTGGTCCCAGCGGGGCGGCCAGGGGCCACACTGGCGGCTCACTCTGAGCATAGTCTCAGCGCCTGGCTTACCCAGCTCAGGCTGGCCCAGCGGACGCCACACCCCATTTCATCCTCCTAGCTCCACGCTGCGGACTCACGCCTCCTGTCCTCGGTCCGAGGGGAGGCGAGGTGCCTCTGCTTCTCTGCGAGGTGACGGCAGGACAGCGCCCCCCACGTCGCCAGTTCCCATCTCTCTCCTGGACCACCTGCCGTCTAAGCCAGACCCCCTGGCAGCTGTCTGTACGCTCCGCATCCTCCCTGCTGACCTGCTCTGCTCTTCCTGTCCTCCTCGGTCTGCTTTAGTCCTGCAGTGCACGCTGCCACCACGGGCCCTCCAGGGCCACCCCAC